GAGGGCTGACTGTGATTGACTTTTCAGGGACCAAGCATGTCCAATTAGTTTGGGTGGCTTGGTCGCCTTGTTTACTTTGGGTTTCTTTCAGTTTCTTTTGGTTCTGAACGAGGAGGTCTGAGCATGTTCCATAAGTTTGGGTGGCTCAGCCTCTTTCTGCTTTAGCTTTAAGAGAATTAACCAGGCTGAGGACCAGGCATGTTCCATAAGTTCGGGTGGTCTTGGTCCAATGTCATGCACATGCTGGAACCAAAAGGCTATAACTTGGCTGTACTTTATTATTATTTTATCTAAAAACAAGTTAGTCAGACAGTGTTCCATAAGTTTGGGTGGTCTGACTATAGCTTATCACAAACTGAAGAGAGTATTAACTAAGAGTAAATTTGTGGTACGAAGGGGCAGACTGAATCTTGAGCTAAAGATGATCGGTTCAGTTATATGCTACCTCAGGAGACTAAGGGCATATAATTATATAAAACTGGGATACTTAAACAGTTCAGGGCGACTAGGGTGGCCTAGTCATATGCCCAAAGAAGAGAAAAGTTGTTGTGCCCTGTGTTTGTGTATACTCAATGGCTGAGCTAGACATGTTCAATAAGTTTAGGTGGTCTAGCTTTATGCCCTATGTAAGCTGGGTATAAAGGGGTAAATCATTGAGAGACTATGAACTATTGTTTGATAAGATGAGTTTGGGATGGTGAGAGTACTTACATTTGTGGTTTGACCGGCATGTGGCTGAGTGAGATTACTACTTAGTATGAGATTCAGTTTGATAGGTAGTTGCTTTAGTTGTTCGTCATGTGCTAGAGCTAGATAAGTTAGTTTCATTTCCTGCATTTTCTAAGCTAAGTTTTTTTTACTTAGGTCCATTTCTGCATTTTCTGGGATCTTTTATTATACTCGGTCTTGTATAAATTTCGGTAAGTCACTTTCTCTACGGGAAGCGCTGCCGAAATTTTTACAAAACCAAGGAGTTAGTCAAATTTTGGCTTTCAAAAACCCAGTTTGTCTAAATTATATACATGATTTAGTAAAAATTTGGGAAGTCTCATTTTCTAAAGGGAGTGTTGCCAAAATTTTTATTGATTCAAGAAGTTGAACAAAATTGGACTTTGGGAAGTCAAAGTTATTTTCTAGACGTTGGACTTAGCTTTGTATAAACCTTGGAGTAGTACTTTCTCTACGGGAAGCGCTGCCGAAATTTCTACAAATCTAAGGGGTTCATTGAACTTTGTCTTGAAGTCGACATCAAGTCTGGCTTCTGAGTTCCTATCTGACTTAGTATAAATCTGGGAAGTACCTTTCTAAAGGAGATGTTGCCCAAATTTTTACTAATTCAGAGAGTTAGACAAAATTTGACTGTCCTGAATTAGAGTTTGAATTTTGTTTTCGTACTTGAGTTATTATAAATTTTGGGAAGACACTTTTCCTACGGGAAGCGCTGCCGAAATTTTCTTAGTTTAGAGGAGTTAGATTATATTTTGACCGGTGGCGACTTTGGCAATCCACCCTGAATAGGAGAGACGCTGCCATAGGTCTGCCTTGCGTTAGGCACTGACTTAGAGGCAGACCTAGGATTAGCTTGTAGAAGGGTCTTGGGTGAGAATGTGTTATGGACCCATAGCTAACCTTTTATAAAATTCAAGAGAGCAGTTATAGAATGTAGCTCTCTCTTTCTTTCGTTTCTTTTTCCTACGAGCAGTGCCCCTAAGGGCCTTGCTCCACTCGTCACCAGCACAAAAGACAAAACATATGCGGCGTATGTGTTCCATGTTCTAGCAAAAGATTCATTCCTCTTTCTTTTGTTTCCTTTTCCAACGACAAGTGGCCCTAAGGGCCTTGCTTCACTCGTCACCACTTGCACAAAAGACAAAACATATGGCGGCGTACAGTTCCATGTTCTAGCAGAAGATTCATTCTAGTTTTGCACATTTTTAGTGGAGGGAAGCCCTGAATTGCACGTGGTGAGTTGGCCTGCTATTGCCGTGAAACTCGCGTGCTCAGTGGTCCCATAACTGCTGAAACATGGTCCTTAAAGTGAATCAACAGCATATATACTTGGCGTGCCATACTTTCAGCATGGCTATGACTACTACCTCGTTCATGGCAACGTGGCCCTCGCTGATTATGTGCAGGGCCCTCTCGGATAACCCGCAGGGGGTTTGAAATAAATATTAATAAGGAGCTATTTGTTTACATTTCCCCCCCCCACTCTCTCTCTCTCTCTCTCTCTCTCTCTCTCTCTCTCTCTCTCTCTCTCTC